TTTTTCGACAGGTAAAACCCGCAATGCCAGTGCTTTTAGTTGGGGAAAACGTCTCCAGATCGCAATTGAAGCTGCACAAGGTTTGGTAGCAAATTAGCAACGCACAATATTAAGCTGTTTGTGTATCTCTTCATTTTACATTAGCAGTTTTCCATGACGTGCAGGTCTAGAATATTTGCACAAGGGATGCAAACCACCACTAATACATAGGGATGTGAAGACTGCAAATATCCTTTTGAGTGAACAGCTAGAGGCAAAGATTGCAGATTTTGGACTGTCCAAGGCTATCCAAAATGATGTTACTAATGTGCCCACGGCAGTGGTTGGCACACCCGGATACCTTGATCCAGAGTACGTAACAAACTGTTTCATTATTCTTTTTATTTTGGCCCATATAGATATATATGTCACTAAAATTTATCACTAAGAACAGGAAGAATGTTTCTCATCCGCATAGCTGAACTTATGTGATTATGAGTCCAAATTAGATTTTTGACTTCTGAGAGCATGCTATTTTGTGAAGAGGAATTAGTAAGAGATTTAACTTAACTTTATACCGCATCTTGCTATGGAAAAAATAAGATAAAGTAACCTCAGTCAGCTGACCTGATGCTTCTTAAAGCTAGACTTAAGGTGATGTGCTCTAAATAGAGGCAGTATACTTGTGTTACATAGAGCACAGATTGGTGTACCTCTGTCGACTTACCATACTGTCATGAATAAACTGCATTAAATTATCTTTCAATTATTGTTATCCCCGGTGCATAATCCTATTTGTTTTCTTAGTAAGAAGTATTTTTCTTCCGAAAAGACTTGGTGTAACATATATAGTGAACCATGACAGTGAGGCTAATTCTGATGTGCTTTGGTGCTTGTTCAGTTATTACATCTCCGGCCAACTCAGTGAGAAGAGTGACGTGTACGGATTTGGGGTGATCCTGTTGGAGCTCATCACAGCTGAGCCGCCAATTCTTATAGGCAGACAGAATGCTCATATAGTTCAACGGGTGCGCGAAAGGCTTGCCAACGGGAATATCGAGGATGTCGTTGATTCCAAGCTGCAGGGGGAGTACGACGTGAATTCGGTGTGGAAGGTTGCTGATATAGCATTTAGGTGCACGGCACAAGCCTCCCACCAGAGACCCACCATGACGGAAGTTGTAGCGGAGCTGAAGGAGAGCTTGGCACTGGAATGCCCTCGTGATACCATGGGCAATAGTAACATCTACGCAGAAACCAACGAGGCGAGCCAGAATACCGCTATAGAAATGGAACGATTTGTGGAGTTCTCTCCATCAGCAAGATAGAACCATGGGCTGTGTGGGATGATGTGTACTTCTACGTTCAATTGAGCTCTAATTTTGTCTTAGAGACTGATATGTACTATAATGTTGTGCTTTGATGAGTGTACGGTAAACACTAAGCTAAATAAGTTCTGGGTGAATTTTGGATGTGCGTGGTTCGAATTGTGCAGCGAGCAAATCTGAATCGTTCCCGAATCGAAAGAATCCGGTTCGATTTTAGTTTTTGATTTTGGAAATCCGGAACGTTGCTTCCGAAACCATGGTGAAGGCTACTGTGCCCTGTCGATACGCTGTGTTTTGTGTACAGTGCAGGTTGATCCTTGTGGATAATAATACTCTGTCCAAATCCAACTGCCACCAAAAACCCAAGTCAAAGGACTCCTGGGTCCGCCACAAAGATTTGCGCCCCACGCCGCCTCTCGGTCGGCTCGCCCGCCGTCGTCGCCCCGCGGCCATCTACTCTTCTACGCCGCCCCGTAAGCGTTCTGCCTTCGTCTTCTTCCTCCTATCTCTCTCTCTCTCTCTCTCCCTTCGGCTTCGCCCGCCTTTACTTCTCAAACATAAGAATACAATTCATAATCCTTCAGCTAGCCTGTAGGATTTGACATTCTCCTGGAGAGGCATTGGCTCATGCGTGGCATGCATGACTGATATTGACACAAATGGCTTAGGAAGAATCTGCAGGGCATGTTTCGTGCATTGTCCTACAACGACAGCCATCAGACCAGCGGATAACGGTAAGAGATATACTAAACGTCCGTTGACCTCCACCAAGTCAGAAGGTCATTTCGTAGAGGTCTCTTTCTTCTTCACTGGCTAGGATGTAACGATGCACGAATCTTAATGTCCGTCACGCTTCTTGAGAAGAAACCACGGGCCAGATTATGTCAACGCATCTGACTTTGTCGAGAACACCGTCATCTTACGATCTCAAATTCTCACCTATATTTCTTGCTAATCGAACACGTGTTGCATACGCTCGGTGGACTTC